TTACCCTGTAAGACTGAACACTGGAGGCAGCCCTTGGTGTCCGTCAGCAGCCAGGAGAGACTGTTCCCTCCTCTCACGTACGTGGAGTTGAGGGCTCTGAGGCAGCGTGTGTTCACTGCACACTCGGACCTCAGAGTGCCAGAAGTCTTAAGTCATACTGCTTAACGTTTCCTGTAACAGGAAGGGGAAACTTCATTTCAGGATTAAAGTGTCAGATTAGAACAACATTCAATACCAGGGAGGGAGAGTGGGGTGGGAGGGCAGGTAAAACAGGAGGCTGTAATCTTATTTTCTCAAGCAGTCCGATGAAAGCCTTCCTTGTCAGTCCATTGCCACACTTCTGCTTTTCTCTGTCACCGTGTTATGGCAAGTCTCTCTCAGATCAAAGCCCCTGGTTCAAAATTCTGTCAAGAATGTTTGAAAATAACTGTGGTCTCTCTATTTTTTTCAATATTGAGTCCTAAAATAGCATTTTAATTTTATTTTAGTAATTCAAATCACTTTAAACTTTATTCGCATGAAGTAACCTCCGCCCCTCCCCCTTTTTGGTAACTTGGCTTCATCCTGCACCATGACTGTTCAATGGGAGAATGCTGGGGATGAATTTGTGCTGGTCCCAGTGGGAATTTGTCACAGGAGAAAGGGCCTATTTAATTGTGATATTTGTCCCCATTTTGGGTTCAAAAGGGGACCAAATGCATTATACTGACACAGTTGAAGAGAAGACGACAGCAATCTTTTCACACTGTGTTATTTACGCTTCTTTTTCTTCACTGTTTTAATTCCCCTTCCCTGTGAACCAGGTTGTGCTTTTGGCAATACCTTTCTTCCAAGATGTTACACTGGCTGACTTGACTTGCTTGTTATCACCTCTGTAGTTGATTAGGCATCTCCAACAAAGTTTCCATTGTTTCACTAAGGAGAGTGCTCACATTTTAGCTGGTTCATACCAAATTGTTCACTTTTTTTTTTGCATATGTGGCCTTATTTTTTGGCAGTAGTTCAGTAATCTGTGTTCACTTGTTTAGTCTGATATGAAGTTAATGCTATTTTGGCAAAGGGCTTTTTCAGTGAATTCCTTCTAGATTCTTTGGTATAAATTATCCACCCTTGTTGACTTGAAATTCTTAATTTCAACAGGTGTTCCCCCTTTGTTATGGATTGGGGTTTTGGGGTTCTAGGTGAGGAGGGATGTGGAGGTTTTTTTGTTTGGGTGTTGTTTTTTTTTTTCCCCTTTTTTATTTTATGACTCCATTGGCTTCTAACTGTGGGAAGATGAAGTGTTGCTTTGGGTGTTGCACAGCCTCTGTATCAGTTCTGTACCTTTTGAGTTCATAACATATTTGTGAACACATGATCCCCCAACCCAGCCTTTACCCTGTCAAATTTTGCTGATGGTTCAGTGTCATCCTTTAGTTGAAGCATTTAATTTTACCAGACAGACATGTCTGTCTTTGGCTTAAACTGGCAGCCTCCTTTCCCACAGCCATTTCAATATGTGCTCAGGCATGTTCTAAACACTGCTTTGTTGGGAGTTTTTTTGTCATTTGGTTCAGCTCATAAGTTTGATTTACACCAATCATGTAATTATCTTTCCTGTGTGGGTGTCTTTATTTCCTGTGGTGAATTGTGCATTCTGTGTGTCTCAACACACAAAATGTATGGGATCGTGCTTGTGGTGCTGACACTGGTGTC